TACGCGCGCAAAAGCAACGTACGTGTAGGGCCAGACGATGGCTCTTTGCTCCCCACCGTCAGGGAGACTTTGTGGTTCAGCCTGTGAACTCCGGACCTCTCTTGTTACGGGGAGCTTGTTGAGTGCCCAGCGGCCCCTTACGTAGGTTTAAGCCAACAAGGCAACAACCCCGCACCACAAGAGGGATATGTGTAGAATATGTACAAGAGCAGCGAGAGGCCAGTGCGAGAGCCCAGAGCATGGAAGCACCATGAAGGGCATCAAAAGACATCATCGAAGCACATGGAAGGACGTGAGCCCATGAGGAGGTCACTCTGCAAGAATCATGCCATGGTGGGCATGATTCCTGGTTTAGGGTTGAGGGTTTAGGGTTTAGGGTCTGGAGAAGGTAGGGGGGGGGGAGTCATCTGGGCAGTGCGGTGCGCCGGCCTCCGTTGCAGGAGATCGTGCCTGGCTTCATTGTGCACGGAAGGTGCTCCTATCGCGCGTCGGCGGCCTGTTGGCGGAGCGCCTAGGGATTGCATGAATGGGGGTTTTGGCGAGGCTTGAGAGGCCGTGCTGTGGCAGCGCGAGTCTTCTTCGGGATTTTGGGGGGAAGGCCATGCAGGGCTTGCTGGTCAAAAGGCGTGGGGGGCGGACGTTGATACCCGCACAGGGCGCCGGCCTGAAGCGGAAAATTCTCGGGGTTGGTCAGAGGGCCTCTGGGGCTTCCGGCAGTTTAGGCTAAACCCTGAACCCTACTTCCTAAACCACCAAATTGAGAGGCGGAGAGCATCATCACAGAAGACAGAATCACACGTCCATGTCATCCATGTCAGGGCACGGATGAAAGATGCAGCGTCCTAGTCCTCAGCCCAAGATTCTGCAGTTTAGGGTTTATAGGGTTTAGGGCTTAGGGGGCTTCCGCAGAGGGTTCAGCAGAATCTTCTGGCCCTCGCGCTCAAGGTAACAACATGCCCGAAAGCATTATAGCTATTGCCGCGCCCAGAAAACCTGCCTAACATACCCTAGCCAAATCCTATAGACCCTAAACCCTAAACTCTCTAAACCCCACCCCCGCCGCGAGTAGGGGTGATCCGAGTCCGCTGCCAATGCACGCAATGCACGAGCCCGGGTCTGCCAGTTCACCCAAAGGCTTTTCTAAAGCCACTGTTCTCTTCAGGGGCATGTAGAACTCTACCCCAGACCTGATGTCCACTGTTGTCAGGATACTTGGGGGTGCTAAGGCACAAGTGTAAAAAGGCACAACGCCGCCTTGGCACGCGGCCTCATAAAAAAGGCACTCCATGTGACAAAAGGCACAACACTGAAGGTCAAACCCCATGTGCACGCAGGCTCAAGGCAAACAGTCAGGAATGTGAAGCTTTGTGTGCGCCCGTGTGTGCCTGCGGGCTGGGCAACGGAAGTCCCGCCAATGCAGGTGTGTGGGGACTTTCTTCTCAGTGTCGGGCGTTCTGCGGAGGGATAAATTTGATTTGCGGCGATCGGAGCGACCGATACCTCGTTCCATGAATATGTTTCAGCAACCCGCACTGTCAACTTTCAATCTGGCCTCTGCTTATCCAACCTCCACCTCTCAAGCCGGCCTCCCAGGGCTCGGAAGGCCCCAACTCGCGACAGCGCAAGCACGCGTGACCCTTCACTCTGCCTGCATCCAACCTGCTGCGACACAAATTGGCGAAAGATAGGAAAGGCACGTGGTTTCGGCGAGCCACTACAAGCCTCTTGAGTCTCCTTTACAGGCATTCGCCAAAGAGCACGCGGGTTTTGTTCCGCCTTGGCACGCCTTAGCGCATGGCCCCTTTGCTGGCATATGAATACATGCCCCAGTTTCTGGGACGAAATTTGAGAGAATCAGAACATGAATCTTCCAGAGCCCCCCGTGCTTAGGAGCGGAGGGGGAGGAAGAAAATGTAGACTACAATAATTTTCACTCCCCCACCGATACGAGTGTGTCAATTGTAGGATCCCACGTCTGGGTCCACGTTTTGCAGCTACCTCGTGCAGGGCGAGCCACGCATACCCCTGCTTACTTCCACTGGACACGGACACTGGCAATTGTAGGAAAACATGTCCTACAATTATGTACCCCCCGCCACTCCTACATTTATTAAGCGCGCGGGGCTTCTTCCAGAGCACGTCCGGCATGGTGTGGTGCGTTTGGGGTGTTATGCATAAGGTGGGGCGTTTGGCTTGTTAAAGCGTAGCGAACCCCCAGGTATCCGGCCCCCGTTAGGCATTATCTGAGCGACCGTCAAAACTCTACACGTCGCGCCCGTCGGGCCTAGCTCGCGTGCAACAGAGGGGCGTCACTTTTCGGTGTTCCACGTCGCCTTACAAGGGTTTTTGACGGTTTAAGGGATGCGAAGTAGGCTTAAGAAATTCGACCGCTCCTTGATGTTATCGGCAATCAGGGGCTAGGCCCAAAGCATGCGCAGAGAGAGCTTGGTGTCTTTCCTGCCAGGCCTCGAAGGCTGAACCATCGCAACAACAACTGCAAACTCTAAGACCCTCCTTGGCCGCTACAGGAGACCAGAGCGCACACCCCTGGGCCGAGCTTAAATTCTACTACTCAGCATGCTGGTCAGCAGGCTCGCAACGAGTGTGCAGTCATGGCCGCCCTGTGCTAGACGAGATGCCATGGCAGGTCCTATTGACTATACTGAACTTGGAGCCCTAGCAAAGATGATATAATTATAAATAATTTTTAGCTTCTTAGGAATTAAGGGTTTAGGGTTTAGGGTTTAGGGTGTAGGGTTTATTATCCTACCCAAAAAATAACACTTATTTCCAAGCATCACTAAGTTGCAGGGGACCACGTGTGCTCTTTTTGTGTTCTGCACTGAGCCGAACCACTGCCTTCGTCAATCTGGGTCAACACACGTGGGCTCTTTGGATGCATGGGGCAGCGTTGATACCATTACAACTAGGTTTAGGAGTTTGGGATTTAGGGTTTAGGGCTTACCTAGGATGGCACCTTAAAACCCTCTGAAAAATATTCCTGCATGTGATCCTCTTAAACTCAACAAGGGAAAACACAAAACATCCCAAGGGCCTACCTGGCTACTCAGGTTCTGGGGTCCAACTATTGGCGACCTCATGCCAGAAGAGAGCCAACGCTGCAGACTGGCGCTCGATTCTGCTCCGTATAGCACGAAACCAGCATGCGCCCCATTTGTCTCTTGACCATCGAGAGATTTGAAGCCGTAGAGCCTGGGGTTTAGCGTTTAGGGGTTAGGAGGCTCGAAGAAGAAGCACAAAATGGGGAAGGCTTCGCACAGCGTGTGGGGTCCAGAGGGGGGGTAGAGCAGACGGCGGCTGCTAGGGGAACCAATCCTTAATGAATGTGCACCCTTCCAAATTCGGGTGCTCTGAAAGACTGCGGGTTTGGGAGTGTCGGATTTCGTGCAGCCCCCTTCCCCCCGCAGTATCCAGCAGTCATGTTCCGGGCGTGGCTTCAAAGCTAAAGTACGGATGTGGGTTATCCTGGCGCCTGGCTTGCGGGCCTGTTGGGTGTAGGACTCACTGGTCCGCTCGTTCGGCACCCACCCTAAACCCTAAACCCCGTCCGCTCTTTGAGAGCTGTCGGACGCGAGAGCCTCCCCCCCCTCACCCCGCCCTCACAAATGAAGTGCTACTTGGAAGTTCATGGTACTTGGTACCCCAAGTGTAACTGTACTTCTAGCCCAATTATCAACCAGCAAATCGACCACAACGACTTTCGTAAAACACCTCCTTGTACACCCGGTCCTACATGGACCCTGGACTGCAAAAACGAGATAGTTTGATCTAAACTCGTAGTTGAGAAACGTATTTTCTAGATCCGAACAGAACATTACAATGAGTCAGGGGTGCGGGCCTGGCCACCATTCCGATTGAGAACTTGGATTTGAAGCTAGGTTGCCCAGTAGCCTAGGATGAAAAAGGGTGCCCATTTTTGCTTAAAGGGGTCTATAAGGGAACCTAAACCTACCAAAAAGGGAATAAGGGTACTACTGGGCATCCTAGGAAGGTATTGGATCACAAAGCTTATGGTCGCCTCGAATCAACAAGCATCTATCGAATCGAGCAACTAGTGTGGACATACCCAAGAGAAGATTACTTCCCTGGGCAGGCGAATGAGGAGCAGCGATCATCTCCACCCTGCTCGCAACAGCAGGTCCTGCACACTTCTCCTCTCACACCGACATGTTCAATCGTCGTTGCCGCTTTTGGCACAATCCATCACATGGGTAATTGAAGAACAAGAGCGCAGATACTTGAACTTGTGGCTTTCTCAAAGTTAGGGTAGCCTTTGGAGGGGTCGGGGTACTTGAGGAGACTATCTTTTCGGGAAATGCGGGCTTCAGGGCTTAGGGTGTTTAGGGCTTATGGCAAGCCTTCGCACGCTGCCTGGTGAGAACGGCCTATATGCCTTGCTTTATCGGACGGAGACTCTGAACCCTAAACCCTAAACCCTAAACCCTAAACCCTAAACCCTAAACCCTAAACCCTAAACCCCAAGCCCTGTGCAGCGAACTCTTCTTTTGAAACTTGGTGCGCCGAAGCGTGTAAGGTGCTGCTCGGTCCCTTCAGGTTGAAGGAGCCAAGATATGAGACTTGGGTGACTTAGGGTTTAGGGTTTAGGATGACTACTATTTGCTCCAGAACCCCCCTCCAAAAAAATGCAGGTGAATCATCCCCGTAATTGCGCTTGTCAGGAAGAATTTCCTTCCTTTTTTTTTTGGGGGGGGGGGGGGGGGTTCAAATTGTAGCTATTTTAGGGCAGCTACATGGTCCCTCAATATGGGACCTTACTTGGAGGTATGTATATATATAATATAATATAATATAATCTAATCTAATATAATACAATATAATATAATATAATGTAATAATAATAATAATAATATATATATATATATATATATATATTCTATATACCCTACAAATACCAAGGGCCCATACTTCAGCACCCTTTACTGAGGGTGAGGGGCCATACAAAGGGACCATGCAAGTTGCTAGAGTGAGACAAGGCTCCCCGTATGAAGCTCTGCAATGCTGCCTTCTCTCGAACTTCCTGAATCCGAGTTCCTCCTGCCATTTCTTCGGCTGCTCCGTAACATTCTGCTTGGCCTGGATTTCCTAGTCTTCAGGGATGATGGGGCGAACTCAAGGAAAGCACTGTTGGTGTCCAGAGTGGGAGGCAGCGCGGGCATCTCCACAAAGAGGCTGCATACCCAAGTGCATAAGAACGCATCGTGCTCCACACGCAGGTGTCGCCCTCGGCCCCACTGCAGATTGAGGTCAAGGTCCACTGAGATCCGCCTCTCGCAATCTTCCAAGTTCATTTCGTTGAACACCTGGGCGGGGGGGGGGGGGGGGGGTTCCGACAGTTCGGGGTACCTTATTGGGGTTTAGGGTTTAGGGTTTAGGGTACCTTATTGGGGTCCTTCATATCAAGGAATCCGACTATTTGGGGGTGTATATTGGGGTCCCTTTTTTCGTAAACTCCCAACCTCTTGAAGCTGGGAACACCTCAACTGATCTCGTCACGTGTGTGTTCATGGCCCCTGATACTTCACACTTCATAAACTGAGCCGGCAGAAAGTTTACAAAGCTTGTCTCAAGAACGGTCTAGACGCTCCCTTTTCCGGAGGATCTGGTGAAGTGCCAGACCTTCCCCGACGTCTGCGCCTGTAGCCAGTCCAACAGCCTCCCCAATGGCTGCATCCAACGCGAGCACGTCGAAGGACGAGGTGTCGAAGAGAAGGACCGACAGCTCCTTCTCCGTGCCTGTGCCTGACGCCCGATAGAACGATGAACGATATGCTGAGGTCCCATTTTTGGGAGGTACCCTACGAAGAAGGGATCGTATCACAGTGCAGGGATCGTATATTCCCGTTGCTTCCCCCCTAAACCCTAAACCCTAAACCCGTTCGAACAGCGCGAGGCGCTGGAATCTCGGCTCCTTCGACGCCCCTCCAGGATGTCGGACAGCGGAGCCACAGCGGAGAGGTCCGGAAACTCTCGCACACCAACCTATGTTTAGGGTGTAGGGTTTAGGGTTTAGGGTTTAGGGTTTAGGGTTTAGGGTTACAATGTGAGCCGTTTCCTTAGGAATTACAGTATACCCAACAAATTAGAAAATACTTCCAAGAATCCCAAAGCAGCTAGTTGTCGAAGATGTCCCTCGGGGTGGCGGTAGCGGATGTGCAGCAGCTCCACCTCTTTGCTGGCGTGCAATCGGGTATCCCAAAGGGTCCATGTACCTATATGGCAGATACTTGGGCCTTAAAGGGGTTCGGTTCCTATATAGTAGCTTTAGGGCCCAAGTATATGCTACATAGGTACATGGACCCTTAGGGTATGGTAACAGCATCATCTACTGCCAGCTATGGTACTCTAGCACCCTATAGAACAGCTCCACCTCGAACTGGTTCGAGAGTGAGTCCATCATCTTGGCATGCAGCGCCTGTGGGATCGGAGTGCTGTCATCCTGCCGCAGGCAAGCCGCAATGTGGTCACGATCTGCGGGGCAGAAGTAGCTGATGAAGTCATTGCTCCGCGACTGTCCGCCCGCTTCTCCTCTTATAGGGTTCTTAAAGGGAGGGGAGTTCAAGGAGTTCAAGGGGGCAGGTACCTATCGGTGGCCTTAGGGAGTAGTGGGGACCTTGGGTTACATACCCCCCTTGAACCCCTAAACCCTAAACCCTAAACCCTAAACCCTAAACCCTAAACCCTAAACCCTGAACCCTAAACCCTAAACCCCTCCCTTAAGAACCCCATAATCCTCTGCCGTGCAGCAACATGGTGGAGAGCTGGCTGAAGTCCCCACAAAGTGTTAGGGACCTGAATCAGGGCTTCTATTCCTGCTAAATTGGTGGGTTTAGGGTTTAGGGTTTAGGGTTTAGGGTTTAGGGTTTAGGGTTTAGGGTTTAGGGTTCCTTTGTTTACATTGGTGTGTATATACTTGGTGTCGTATGGGAGATACAAGGAATATAAGCCCTACTTCAGACCTAGGTTCGTTAGAAACGTAGGAAGCACAAATTCCTCTGTCGAGGCTCAGAAGGAAACTTACACACACACACAGACACACACACACACACACACACACACACACACACACACACACACACACACACACACACACACACACACACACACACACACACACACACACACACACACACACACACACACACACACACACACACACACACTGACACACACACACACACACACACACACACACACACACACACACACACACACACACACACACACACACACACACACACACACACACACACACACACACACACACACACACACACACACACACACACACAGAGACAGACAGACAGTCACACACACACACCACACAGACACACACAAGCACACACACACACACAGAGCCACACACACAGACACCACACACACACACAGACACACACACACCACAACATAGACACACACCCACACATAGGACACACACACACACACATAGACACACCACCACACACACACACAGACACACACACACCCGCCACACACATCAGAGACACACCACACTACCAGAACATCAGACACACGACACGGGACACACACACACACACACGCAGACACACAAACACAGACACGGACACGTTCACGAACACAGACCACACACCCACACACACACACACACACACACACACACACACACACACACACACACACACACACACACACACACACACACACACACACACACACACAGACACACACACACACACAGAGAGAGAGAGAGAGAGATATATATATATATATATATATGCACCCACGCCTGTGTATGTATGCAAATAAATAAATAAATATAAATATAAATATAAATATAAATATATATATATATAGTTGCGCACACCCCGCCCCCAATGGACCAAACGCAACATGGAGAATACACGGACAAGCCAATACAAAATGAACAACTTTCTAGGCTGCTTTGTGCATGGTTTGCACATTCGGTGCTTGTTATGGCTTTTTGCACTTGTTTGTGTTTGTCTTGTAGTTCCTAATCCCAAAACCCACAAGCCAAAAGAAAAAAACAACTCCAAAAGTCCAGCCTTGCCCGGGGCATCGCCCAGGAAAGTTTGGATATTTAGGTTTTTGCATCTTTGGATTTGGGTGGGAGGGGGGGGGGGGGGGGGGGATGGCTCTTAAAGACAGGCATTGCATCAGTTCATAGTTGCTCGGCATTCAGGGAGAAACAAAGGGGAATTGCCAAAACATGCAATCAGTGAGTTGTGTGTCTCAAGTTGCTGCCTTCAGTGTAGTAGTTAGTGTGTTTTCGGCAAATTCAAAACATCTGGCCGGAAGATCTCCCAGAAAAGTCTGGGTTGACAAAACTTTGGAATTAATTGAATGTTTGGTTTTGGGGTTGTTGAGCATCTCGGTTGTCGATCAAGAAGGGGTATGGCCCTCATGGCCTTTCCTGGCCTTCAAAACCAAACAGTCAAAAAGACTGCCTCCTGCAGCCCCCTAAACCCTCCCTAAATCCGAAACCCTAGGCCCTAAACCCTAGACCCTGAACCCTGAACCCTGAACCCTGAACCCTGAACCCTAAACCCTAAACCCTAAACCCTAAACCCTAAACCCTAAACCCTAAACCCTAAACCCTAAGCCTCGGCTTCCTTAGTCTCCCTGCGCATAACAAGGGTAGGTTTCCTCCACTACCATAAAGGGAGGCCTCAGGCCAAACCTCCGCCTTTTGAATACAGAAGTCCAGAGATTAAAACCATTTTTGTGGGATTGTCCAAAAACTTTGGATTCTTGACTTGCTTTGGACATTTGAATTTCTGGAGTTTGGGAACTGACGCGGAGGGACGGAGGGAGGGGCCCCTTCACAAGAGAAATGCCTTCATACTTCCAGCAAAACATTCATACTGCGCTAGGGATAAAGCAACTCCCTAAACCCTAAACCCTAAACCCTAAACCCTAAATCCTAAACCCTAAACCCTAAACCCTAAACCCTAACCGCAAACTAAAGAAGTATCCGTTTCTCCTGCAGAAATGGGCACGTCCAGGATGTACGTGAAGGTGCTTACATGGGGTCCACTTGCAAGATGAAAATAAGAGCTAAATGGGACCTCATAATGTGAAGTATTAGGGTTTAGGGTTTAGGGTTTACCAAACCCTAATAGGGTCTAGGGTTTAGGGTTTACTACCATCCTTTCATGGTTCACTTTTACAGGCCTTTCATTTTTTGAAAACATATCTTCAACAGCTTCTTGAATGCGCCCTTTCGTATCCGATGAATTGAGGCCATGTTCACATTTCGAGTAGTTAGGACGTTCATGGAATTCTGACAAGGGTGCATTCGAAAGGTTGCCCTCTTAGAAGTGAAATTGCTTAGAAAAGTGGAGAATGGTCGTTTGGACTATATAACCTCGAACGTAAAACAATCACAAGAAACACCAAAAAAAACATGAATCCAAAAGTTTGCTTTTTATGGGAAAATCTCCGGGAAAGTTTTTTGAGATTTTTTGTTCGTTTTGAGGATCCTCAGTACATATGGCACCAAGCCCCTGTATCTCACATAATTCATACTAAGTGCAGCAGAGGGAATGCTCAGAGCAGACAGTGCACACAGGAGCCTTCACCTGTCGAGGTTTGTCCATTGAGGGGGAGGGGGGTCGACCATATGAAAATTAACGCAAGGAAACAAATAAATCCATAAATCTGCATACTATATATGTATGCATGTGTGTCTGCGCAACACGAAAAAATGGGGCCCAAAACCCAAAACCCAAAACCCAAAACCCAAAACCCAAAAACCCAAAACCCAAAACCCCAAAACCCAAAACCCAAAAACAAAAAACCCCAAAACCCCAAAACTCCAAAACCCTAAACCCGAAACCCTCAACCACAGAAGGGGCGGGATTCTGGGCTTCGAGTCACTCGTCGAGCTCCACCACCGCATCGCAAAAGCCCCGGAGGAGCCGCAGGGCGGATTCCAGGCCTAGGAGGGCCCTTAAAGCCTTTTAGGGTTGAGGGTTTAGGGTTTAGGGTTTAGGGTTTAGGGTTTAGGGTGAAACATATTCCTGAATTTGATCCTCTTAAACCCAAAGAGGGAAAATATAAAATCTCCCAAAACCCTCCCTAGAGGCCGACAGTGCTGTTTTTCAGCTGCAAGGCCATGCATGAGTTGGAGTACCTTGGGGGAAAGAAGAACCACAACAGGGTGGGTTCAGATACCTTAGGAGGGATTCTAGTAGCATAGGGTTACGTGAGCCCGAAGCCTCAACCCTAAACCCTAAACCCTAAACCCTACACCCTACACCCTAAACCCTAAACCCTAAACCCGAAACCCTAAACCCTAAACCCTAAACCTGAGGCTCCATCCTTGTCTTCAAGGTACATGTGTTGCCTCATAATGTAGGCAAGCCAGAAAATGGCCACGTTTATAAACGCTTCTGAAAAACGATCGTTCCTTGGTAGCCCAGGAACCATTAGGGCACCCTTTTTTGGGTTTAGGGTTTAGGGTTTAGGGTTTAGGGTTTAGGGTTTAGGGTTTAGACCACAGAACTAAACAAAGGGCAAAGGATCCCACAGGGCTACCAAGGTTCGTGAAGGGGCGATGCGGGCTCCGAGCTTGCACAGTCAGAAAGTAGATCACATTGCCTCGGTTGCCCAGTAACCTAGCATGAAAAAGGGCGAATTTTTCTTTCATAAAAAGGGGGTTGAATTACAAGGGAACCCTAAACCTAAACCCTAAACCCCTAAACCCTAAACCCCTAAACCCTAAACCCTAAATCCTAAACCCGCACCCCCCAAAAAGGGAACAAGAACATCCTAGTTGCAGAGGCATGCCAGCCAGAAGCGCCTTGCGGTCAGGCTGAAGAGCAGCCGGAAACCCAGCGCCCCATGTGACAGCCTTGGCTTTAGGGTTTAGGGTTTAGGGTTTAGGGCTTAGGGTTTAGGGCTTAGGGTTTAGGTTTTAGGGTTTAGGGTTCCACTGGGCTACCAAGCAACAGGCTGGTGAGAGATTGTCGTTCTTCAGCCATCTGCATGGGGAACACGCATATGAAGCCCAGGATGGACCATGCATCCAAAGTGCGAGGGGAGATCAGCATGCGGCCACAGGCGAACCATGAAAGCGACAGGATGTACATTGCCAAGGATGACATCTCATGCACAAGAGAGATCTCCGAAGTCAGGCTACTGAAATATCTATACTGCAGGGCGACGAATCGCGCGGAGATAGTGACGAGGAAGAATGCGCTGGCGCTAACCAGGAGCCTGCACTGCGTTTCATGGAGCTGCGCCGCGGCCCTGCCCTCAGGAAAGTTGCAGATGAAGTGCTGAGAGAATCCCATCCTTGGGGGCCGAGCCAGAATATGGTTTGTGGTTCAGATACCTTAAATAGGGATTGTAGTAGTAGAGGGGCTATACTACTACAATCCCTATTTAATATATCGGAACCACAAACCATAGTATAGAGCCCATGACCTCAATCTTCAACCCTAAACCCTAAACCCTAAACCCTAAACCCTAAACCCTAAACCCTAAACCCTAAACCCTAAACCCTAAACCCTAAGGTCATTTGGGCCCCAAGGATCAGCAAGCCTCTCACTGAAGCATCCTGCTTGCAGAGGCGGCAGATGCCGAAGGTCAACAGCAGCCTTACTGATGGCCACTCAGCCTTTCCCATGTTCCGTACGAACCCTACAAACCCTATCCCTAAACCCCCCGACGGGCTCAGTTACGGGGGCGGGTTTACATCGTAATTTGCAGGGTTTCGTGTTTTAGAGGTGGGAAAAAGAATTATTGTGATTCGGTTTTTGGTGTGAAAGGTGGGACTTGTGTAATTGCACAGTAGCTTTTGTCTTTCCAGGAAGCAGAAGGACCAAAGCCCCGAGTCAAAACCATGAAGCACCCACTTTAGACCCTAAGCGGAGAATCATACGATAACAGCATACGCTGTGCGCTACAGAGGCAAGCGCGACTAGAAACGGAAGATGTCCTGCCAGAGGCACACGCTTGTATCCCCAAGCAAGCCCGATTCACAGATTCGTTCTTAAACCCCCCCTCTTCCCCCCCAAACAAACCCACTCAGACCCCCCAGCAACTCCATCCAGAAAAAACGCAACGAAAAAAAACGCAAAACGCGCCGTGTGTAGGTAACACAGGAAGGCCATGAATCGTGTCTCGATTCTACCACGCATGCCACGCATTTCGTGACGTTGCACAAAACACGCACGAAAACCATGCACCAAAAGGGGCACCCCTTTTGGTAGTTGAAAACGCTGAAATCGAAACGTGTGACAACCCACAAAACAAACAGCGGACATGAAAACCTCACGCAGGCCAACGTTTTCAGCATGCACCGTGAACAAGGAGGAACAGCGGCAGGGGACAAGACGCTGTTTTGACCCGACAAACCATCCCCGCAACCAAACCCGCCAGGCTAAACCCTAAAACGGAAACCCTAAACCCTTAACCCTTATACCCTGAGCCCCGGAAATCCCGGATCCCCATCAAGAGCGTAAGCAGCGCGAGCGTGAGCGCTTGCAGCAAGAAGGCGCAGAGGACAGCGACCGCCACCAGATCCATGATGCTTAGGGTTCAGGGTTGAGGGCCCTAAACCCTAAACCCTAAACCCCTAAACCCTACACCCTACACCCTACACCCTAAACCCTAAACCCTAAACCCTATGCATAGGGTTTAGGGTTGAGGGCCTCGCCCGACACTCCTAGAGGCCAACGTGTCAACCCAATAAGCGAAGGCTTATCATTTGCCTGATTGCCTTAGATACTTTTACCAGATGCCCTGGAGGGCTCATGTAGCCACCTGCACCAAAGGCAGCATGCGTGCCATGGGATTGCCCTTTCTGCTTGGAACAGCTGCGCGGAACCCACACCCCTCAAGCTAGAACCCCAATCCCAACCCTTGCCGAACCAGCCCAAAAGCCATGCCAAGATTGCGAACCCAGCCATGGACGTCTGAGATCTGATCTAAAACCCCTAAGTCCCCCACCCCTGCGGTGTAGGGCTTACGGTGGAGGATCCCTTCCCCACCCTTGCCTTTTGGGCTTCCTGGCAACCTGCGGACTTTGTAGGCTTTAGGGTTCCCTAATCCCTAAACCCTAAACCCTACACCCTAAACCCTAAACGGCTGCCTGGACTCTTAGCACCCCTTAACAATCTCACGGACCCCAGCAGTGCGGCGATTTTGGCAATTTGAGAGCTTAGCGTGGGAAGCATCGAGTGGCAGAGATTTCCATTTTGATACCCTAAACCCTAAACCTTAAACCCTAAACCCTAAACCCTGAATCCTACGAGTAGATGATATCGATTGGAGGCTGCTGCTCGCAGTTCCGCACTGCGGCTAGAACATCCCAACTTGGAGTTCATGGGTACTTGGAGGTTCATGGTACTTAGTAACCACTTGTAACTGTACTTATAACTGTACTTATAACCATATTAGGGCAGGAAGGACCTGTGCATCCAAAGATAAGTGGTATCCTGTCGCGTGGCAGGCAGTCAGTTAGGCGGGTTGAGGGGGGGGGGCAATGCCGACGCTATCTGTGTCGTGCCTTTTTCCTCGGTGGGCGTCTGGAGAAAGAGCTTCTGGCTTTACTCTGCAACTTGAAGCTTGAGATTGTACAGATCAGAGTCTGCGGAGCCGGCAGTTGTGGCAGCGGCAGGCGGGCTTGTGTTTGTAGAAAATGAGGTAGCGGACAAGTGCAAGCTGCTTGGCAAAAAATCACAAACTCCACATGATCGACAAGGCCGCCATTTTGCCTTGTCGAAGCTGTAACGGAATCAAAGGGCTCACCGCTGTGCCGCTCCGGTGCTCGGATTGTTCGATAATGGTCTCTTGTTGTCGCAATCTTCGTTTCCCAAGCATCACTCGCGCGACGACTACGCAGCGCTCAGAGCCTGCATGGCGCAAATCCTTGAATTGGCATCGGCTGTGCGTTCTGCGCAAGTGGTGTAAAGGTCAGACTTGGAGGCGTTTTGCGCGAAGTGGGCTCCTCTGCCGAACATGGAGCCAGCAACATCTCCCCCACGCTGCAGTTCAATTCCGCGCCGTGCAATGTCGTCGATGCTTTGCCGGGGACAGCCGTCGAAGAGCAGATGCTCATTCAAATCTGCGCAGCCGTCGTCTACAACGCATTTGAAGGCAGTGATTCCTGGAATCCCATGACATCCGTGCGGGTTGCGTTGCAGAGTCTCGCCAGAGCGTGCTGTTTCGTACGCCCGCTGTTTCGTGGAGTTCACAATTTCTGCAATGTCAGTGATTTCCACGTCAGGTGGCGGGCACCACTGGATTGACTTGAAATGTGCTCGATGAGATGCCGCGTACTGGTTGTTTTGTAGGGCTCGGAGCAACACTCAACACTCCTTGCCCTGGTGGGCTTTTTCAGCCACCCTCCAGTAGCCTGGCTTAGCCAGACTATTGTCGGGCGGTGAGGGCTCCTTAGGAGGCACCCAACTAACTCGGCACGCCCACACCTCGCCTTCAGCGACGATGTTGTCTCGCTGCCGCAAAAAAAGCTTGCCGTATTCGGTTTTCATCTCGCGGTGCCCCTTGACACCGCAGTTCTGGTGGCCGTACCACTTATTGGGCTTGTTACACGGACTATAATAAGAGGAAACGGCACCGAACTTGACTAAAAAAAGGTGGCGTGCAGCATCAGCTTCCTGCGAAGTTAGCAGTTGCAACGTAGGAGGGAGTGGCCCGGTTGCCGTGATCATTGGCGATGATGTCCTGGGATGGCCCTTAAAACCCTCTGAAAAATATTCTTGAATTATGATCCTCTGAAACCCAATACCTAGTTGCTGAGTTCATAAGCCCCCAAAAAGTGTACACTTTCAGTTCTATAGGGGATTATCGTATCCCAAAAAATGTGAAGTGTACTCACTCAGCTACTCAGAATAAGGGAAAACAAAAAATGTCCTAAGGGCCTACCGAGTTTCTTTGCCGTCCCTCTGCCAAACACCGACACGGCATTTCGTGGTGCCAAGGTCAATTCCGACTTCGGTCTTCTCGGCCATGGCGCGGATGGTGAAAACTGGTCAGAACAGGTGTTGAGGATAGGGTTTAGGGTTTGGAGTTTAGGGGTTGGGGTCCGGCATCGCACCCATGTTGATCTACACCCGAGGTAGCCATTCAATTTGAAGACAGGGGCAGTCTGGAAATGTGAAACCAATGTCGTTGACTTAGCAACAGCAAAGCGCGTCTTCTCCACATCAACGGGACTTTCTAACTATTAAATTATTGCTGTTCATGGCCCCTGAGCGGCCAAGCTGGAGTAAACTTGCTACTTCGAACATCCCTGCACTGAAGCTCAGCTACTTGACATACACTGTCGGGATCATCTGAGATTGGGTGCTCAAGGCGGGTAAGATAGGGGCCTGAAGAATTAGAATACGGCTTTGGGGGTTATCATAGTATGATTTTAAACGGGCCATAAGTTGTAAGGGGATACTCTTCTTAACTATACCGACCCCTATATTATGCCAGCAGGAGAACCAAGCGAGTCGAATGGCTGAGTCAAAAACGAAACACAGCCCACACCGAGGGCCGGGAACAAACATTCCACAGTACTTCTTGCAGGAGAATCTAATGCAAATTATTACCTACCTCCCGTGCTCCTCTAGTCTAGGGATATCTGTGGAGCCCCATACGCCCCGAACCTCACTCGGCCTCCGCTCTCCTGCATATAAACCAGGATGCATACACTGCAAACCCTAAACCCGCAACCCTGAACCCTAAACTCAGCAGCCCAGGATGGATTACGAAAGCAGCCGGCTCGCACCGTTTTGCAACTTCCACCGAGGTTGCACCATGTCGGGGGTTGTTCAATTTTGCGGGTGCGTGCTCGGGTACCCCAAATTCCATACTCTAATGGCCCTAAACCCTAAACCCTAAACCCTAAACCCTAAACCCTAAACCCTAAACCCTAAACCCTAAACCCTAAACCCACTCAAAGGGAACCCAAGAGGGGCCATCAGTGTTGAACAACCCCCACCTGCGCATGGCTGAGATGATTGGGTCTGGGATTGAGGTTCGAGGGCTATGCTCCGGTGCCTTTCAGCATCGAGCGCGTGACCTGCATGCACCATTCAGTGGTGGCGGCAGCATTGAAACAGTGTCCCCAGCCCTCAACCCTATACCCCAAAAAAAGAAAGACCCAGCGGCTTAATTGGTGAAGGCAATGATGCCCAACGACTTGTGACGGTTTAGGCGTAAGGTCTATGCGTTTTGCAGGTGGTAGGGTGTTGGGAGACAAGATCTGGACAAACATCCTAAACCCAAAACCCTAAACCCTAAACCGTGTACTGTGCATCCTTCCCCGCCTTGACGTTCAGCGTCGCGAGGAACAGGTCATCGTCGGGAATTTGCCATGCCTTCCACCCAAACCCTAAACCCTAAACCCTAAACCCCAAACCCAAAACCCAAAACCCTAAACCCTGGTTCCGAACCCTAAGATGCCCCAAGTCCTGCACCCTATACGTCATAAGCCCTGAGCCCTGAGCCCTAAGCCCTAAGCCCTAAACCCTAAACCCTGAAATGAGCTCCGTAACCTCTGGGCCTCTGCTGCTTTGCTTGAAGCTTCGGCTTTGAGCCCCCCGGCGTCTGCAGCAAAGAGCAGGTCCATCATTTTTTCGATGTCTTGGCCCAGCCTGAGGGTCTTGCTTAGTTTAGGGTTTAGGGTTTAGGGTTTAGGGTTTAGGGTTTAGGGTTTAGGGCTTAGGGTTTAGGGTTTAGGGTTTAGGGTTTAGGGTTTAGGGTTTAGGGTTTAGGGTTTAGGGTTTAGGGTTTAGGGTTAGGGTTTAGGGTTTAGGGCTTCGGGTTTAGGCTTTAGGCTTTAAGGTTGAGGGCTGAGTGCCTTTAGGGTGAGGACGAACCCCCGGGAAGTGACCTCCGCTCTACACCCCCTGAAAAATATTCCTACATGTGATCCTCTTAAACAGGATTATCCACTATCCCATGTGCCTACCTAGTTAGATCCGGGCCCCAGATTTGCTCATCGGAAGCTTTGCTACCAGCTGCTTGACGCCGAAATCCTAAAAGCCCTTGACCCTCAATCCGACACATGCACTCTTCTGGTTTCGGGACCCCTAAACCCTAAACCCTAAACCCTTAGCCCAAAGAAACAGAGAGAGGGAGAGAGAGAGAGAGAGAGCTGCTATGGCTGCTATGGTAGGCAGCAGGCAGCCGCTTCTCCAGCAGGGTAAAGATGGCAACTGCCAGCTTCACAAAAACCTCGGGAAGACGTTGGCCGTCTTATGTTTTCATTTTGTTGTTGCTTTTTTGGGGGGGTAGGGGTCAGGGGTCAGGGGTCAGGGGTCAGGGGTCAGGGGTCAGGGGTCAGGGGTCAGGGGTCAGGGGTCAGGGGTCAGGGGTCAGGGGTCAGGGGTTGGGGGTTGGGGTTTAGGGTTTCATTTTGGGTTTCGGCTTCAGCCTTTAGATTTAAGGTTTAGGGGTCCCGAACTAATCCTAAACCAACCTGCCAAGTTTGTGCAGAGCCCCTGCAAGCAAAAACAAAAGAACCTGCTTTCAACATCACCTGTAAACCCTAAACACCCTACAAGAACCTCAAA